CCCCACCCTCTCGGCGTTGATGTGTTCTTCCCGAATCGCATCTACTCCATGGCTCCCATCGAAAAGCCAACGCCACATTCGTGTAGAATCTTTTCTAAAACGCCAATATTAATTCCAAACATGCGAAATTTAAAGCGTTTGATGAGCTATTTTCATTAAAATTTGAAAAACTAGCCTCAATGATCGATCGTTTGAGAACATACAGATGTATCGGCGTCTCCGGCACTTTTCGTATCACTAAGTCGTCGGCGTCCGGGTGAAGTTTCTAAAATTACCTTGAATGCACTTAAAAAGAAATCGATTACCAAATATTGTTCGCACCAAAGATCACCGCTATCACAAATAGGGTCATTTTCGCGTTTATAGATGATGGGATGCCAGTTGAATTTCCATTGAGTATCCGGGTACATCTAAATTTTACTAGGGTGCGGTAATATTCAGTGTGGCTGAATGGAAAATCGGGCACTGAATTCCATAAAATTTACTTTAATATCCTTAATCACTTACATAAATCGGTTTCCCGCAATCATTGCCAGATTGAAATGGAGACGGTAATGAAGCCTTTTTGTCAGACGATTCACTGACCATTTTGCCTAAAATGTGTAAGTTCAGAAAGAATTGTTAAAATTGACCCATATCCGGACTCAGTGGAACACGATTCTTCAAATTGGCATCATCCATCCAATTGACTCGATTGATCGGCGTCATTGCGTGAAGAATATAGAAATAGTGGACCTAAACATGGGTAAATGTTTAATTGCCGCTGTGAAAGCATACCAAATGCAACGCAGTATCATCATAGCAAAAATACACACCAGCCGCCCTTGCTTCAGCCTAAAAATCAAGATAAGCTTACAACTAAAGACATAAATTTACATTATGAATATGTAAAGTTTTTCCAATTTGCTCGAACGTTTGTCGTCGGATATGGGGCAAAAATCCGTGCTCTGTGGACTGACCTCTAAAGCAACAAATTTTTTTAAACAAACAAGGCCATAAACAACTTATGTTTTAACAAAAACAAGAAACGCACCGATTTCCGGGCATGTAAGACGGATCAGAATCCTCTGATCCATAGAATTCGTTCGGGCTCGCATTGCTCTCGGAGTTGAGTTGTAGAAATTGCACGCCAACATCCGCGTGTTGCAACTTCTAAATGTGGCAACAATAGCAGAAAATCGAAAAGAATTGTACCTTATTCTTCTGGTAATGTTCGAAAAAGTCGTACACTTTTGCGGCCCAAGCCCACATTTTGATCTTCCTATTTGGATGAAAATCTCTAAAATTCGAACAGAACATTTAGATCCTATACAGACGAAACTAACGGTTGACAAACATTGCACGTGAAAGAAATATTATTGCCAGGCCAGTAATAGATGTGTTTCACCTAAAGAAACCTTTATTGTTTATACAAAGTTTATATTAACCTTCATTGGAAGGCCATTCTCGCTACATTCAGCCACTTCGGCGCCTTTGAAACCAAAATGAATATCCCTGAATTAAATTTTGTAATTTAGCAAAAGTAAAGGCATTGCTAATTTTTATAGTACACCACTGCATAAGTTCATTTTACGCTAAAAACTTAACTCAAGCCAGTAACAAGATGGAAATCCATTTATTTCTTCAAACCACAAATCTCCATAATCTCTTTCTGACTTACTTCAAAGTACGACGATCACGAGACGGAATTTCAGCTCGATCATTCGGAGATCTGAAGGGTTGAAAATATGGCTATTTGAAGGGAAAAGAATACGTGAATTGATCCAATTGATCGCTTTGTTGAATCGACGAAGAAATTTGATAGAAAAGGAGGAGAGTCGTGATGAATAGACTGACGGCCATCACACCCATTCTGATCAATTGGTTATTTTGCTTTGAATTAGGGGAAATGGGAAGAACGAATAGAGCGACGATGCCGAAGTGCCAAAGCCAAAGTTTTGACGGCCCAACGGGCAGAAATGACTGTTTTGACGGGCAGAATCGAAGTTTTAGAAGGCCCGAGCGGCCTGAATCACTGCTTAGACGACCCGAAGGACAAGCATGACTGTTTCGACGACTGGAAGGGCTGGAATCGAAACTTTTGAAGGCCCGAGCGGCCTGAATCACTGTTTTGACGACCTGAAGGGGCTGAATCGATTTAAAAATTGAAAAGTAACCACATTTAAACATGTGGCTTATAGAAAATCTGTGTAATTGGTGTTAAATTCAGCTCACAATCGGTGGCTTTTAAGTCTTTCAACTCTAATTTCATCTATTTATATAAATAGTGAACTGGTGAGCACATCCCTGAATGCAGGAGACAAAAATTTTAATGGTTAACGCTGCACCTACAAAGGGAAAGACGACGAGAGTCCTATTTAACGGTAGTATAAACTTGGAATAAAAAAGCGGACTCTATTCTCCTTGTATTTTGTCTATGAAGTCATGGATGATTGAAGAAAAGGGTTTGGGAGCAATTCTTTAATTTGAATTGTGTTTGTCATAATTTCAACACAAAAATCTTAAATTTATTTTTTTACAGAACACGAATTTCTCCATTTTCACATATCTGTAGTTTTTCCATACAATGAATCATTTTATTCAAGAAAACATTTAATTTCAGAAATATAAGAGCAGTCTACTCATGGGTTCATTTTTGCGTTAAAATTAGAGAAACATTATATCCCATTATTAGGTCTGCTGCAGTCCAACTGAAAGTCAAATAGCCTTAAGTTGAGCTTGACCTGTTAAGCTTACTATTGGCCTGGAAACCTTGTTTGAATGTTTGGCTTAGTTTGGGCTAACTATGCATACGAATAGCTCTGGCCAGTCCAGCTCTTGCGTTTTGCTATAGTTTTTTTTACGATTGAACAGAGAAGAGCCTAAATGGCGAGATTTAGTATATGATTCAAGATCAGAAAAATGCGGTCAACTTCGCGATCTTTTACGATGATGGCAATGCTTTTGGATCGGTTTGGGATCTCGGATATCCGTTCATTCGTCAATTCTGTCATGTCTTGCTCTGCAACAGAAAAGAATCGATTTTGCAAAGGCTTTATCTGAATCAAGACAAGTCAAGTCAAAAAATATTATCTAAAGCTGCAAAAAGACTTAACTCTCAGCAAATCTACATTTTGCTCTTTTCGATCAAAAAATTCAATATTTACCAACATCCGTAAAAGTGAAATAGAAATGAAATCATATTTCCAAGTTTCCAAAGAAGTTCTCACGAATTTGAGCCAATGATATCACAATTGAAAGGATGGGGGGCTTCCCCAAAAATGAGCACGTTCAAAGTCTCGCCATGTTTGAAAAAAAACTCTGTTTCATGATGTTTGACCGTTTTGTTGTCCAAAGTGAACTTTTCTCTTGCTTTTGTTCCCAGTGTTTACTTGGAAAAATGACGAAAAGAGAGCAGAGGGCAACAATTTTTAGGGCCGGGGAGGGAGAGTACGGTATTTCGAAGTCCAAGAAATCAACAAACCATCGGCACCACTATATAGCCTGAAAATTCGAGCGTCTTTTTAAAACCCTGATTTTGTTTAACTGTTTAACTTTAATGTTTAACTTCACACAGTCATTGGGTTAGCGCATCCAGCAAAATTTTTGGATCAACTAAAGTAACAGGGCATTTTGGGTTACCCTAGTTCTATGTTATTTTGGAGCCCTAGACTAATTTATTAGCTTTTCTTGAAATTCCTAAAAAGTCGATCGTCTTACTTTTTAAGAGTTTAATTTTTATTTTATTTAGCTTCCATACCATCAAGCTTCTTTCGGTAAGTGTGGCTCAACTACATAATCAGTCACTTTTAAAGTCAGCTCCTCTTGGTTAATCGTGCAAAAAAGAGAATGATTTACGGTAGAAATATACCAACTTTTCTATCATTTTTCAAGATATTCAGTCTTTTTCTACCTTAATCTCTTTTCTATTTAATTTCTATTAAATATTAACCAAGCGGAGCTGACTCTATTCACTTTGAGCTGCTTTACTTCTAGGTTATTTTTCACCGTAAGTGATTTTTACAGTCTTGATCTTATATTTAGAATCTACAAATTTAGAATTTAAAACTTAGCATCTACATTTGGAATTTAGAATTAGTATATGTTTTAGATTTAGGTTCAGAATCAAATTAGTATACGGCAACTGTTTTAGGCTTTATTTTTAGCTCTATAATCAAAATAAAGTCAAATGTCCCTGATACTATCCAAATTTATCCCTCAAAAGCAACAGCTTAATGGCGAAAATTTAAGAATATCATTTTACGAATGGCTTGAATTAATAAAGAAATTTTGATTTTGTTTGTAATGTAAATTTCTTCAGCTTTAAACACCTTGCTTTGTTCTCAAAATTTGAGTGAATTTTGGTAATTATATCATTTGTATTTTTTGAAAATAAAAACTTTGATTTCCTTACGAATGCATTTCACTTTTCACTTCAAAATCCCAACCAAATTTGGCTACCTACTTCTTAAAGTAGCTTGTTTACAGTCCGAGTTCGGAAAACTGCATATTTCATCTCTTTTTCTCTATTTTCAACAACGGTCATATCAGCAAAGATTATAGGGAAAAGGAAGAAAATTACTTGGTGGTTTAAGGGTGGGTATTAGTACCCGATGGGAATGACCTAAACCTAAAAATAGGCTTGGCTCAGAAACCAGGCCCTGGTAGACATTCATAGTGCCCTCGCCCGTATCCCCTTTTTATTCCCCTATATAAAACAAAAAGTTTTTTGCACGAGGAATCGAGCCCGAGCCAAGCGTGTATTTTATGCAAGGCTCTTACCCACTACGCTACTAGGACAGCTGATTTGCGCAGTGAAAGGGACTTTATAGAGGCAGCCCGAAACTTGAAAGGCTCAGAACTTTCGCCAGAGAGTTGTTTTGTCGATTTTTAAAGCAGATTCGGAATCTCCATGAAAAACTGCCTAAGATGAGTTAGGTCTCATTACAGAAGGCCATCTTGACCTGTTGCACTTTCCTAGTAAGTGTCCCCCGGTGACAACGCCTTAGTATCCCCTCGATATGGTTCTGGGCCTTTTCCAGAAAGCACGAGTTTTTATTTCTGAAATTTTTTTACGCTTCCCAAAAAGTGTCCCCTAAGTGTCCCCTTTAAATGTCCTAGTAGGTGTATATTAAGGGGGAGACTAGCGGAATCTCAGGGGGAACACTTACAACTACACTTACAGTTGTTAGCGGGACAAAAGAAGCATAGGAAGAGGGCACTATGAGTGCATAGGCCCTGGTCTGTCTTGTTCCTCTCGATCTTGAAACCCATTGAGCCTAAGTTAAGCTCATTGGTCAGATCTTGACTTGCTGGCCTTGTTTAAGACCTAGGACCGTTGAAACATCTCCAGGAAAACAACCCGTTGTTTCTAAATCTCATTTGCTGCATCGATCGTAATTGTACGGAAATCGGAAATCAATTTGAATTGGTACGGAAATCACATTCTGGTCCGCTCGAGTCAGCATTTAGCTAAAAAGTGAGGTTTGAAATGTAAGAATAGACAAGTTCTAGAGAAAAACCCTTGTGATTGTGATTTTTTTTAACAACTCTTACTTTTTAAGATCAAAGCAACCAGCGCTTGACTATGGTCATTTCGCGAAGAAACTCTGTGACACATCGAATTTCGCGTTTCTTCGGAAATACTCGAAACCGCTGATGTGAGGATTTTTTCAAGTTACCTAAGCATTTGAAAATATTTTTAGGTGGATCGTCAATGTGGTCATTCTGTTCTATCAACTCGGAATGGGCAGTGTGGCCATGCTGTTTATCGCCGACAATTTGGTTGATCTTTGTGGAACCTCACTCGGACCAACAAAACATAAACAGGTTGTTTGAGCGGTTCTATAACTTCTCGTTGGGCGTCTGGCGATCGGTGGTGGCGAGCTGGGATATTTCCCTTGTGAATTAGGCTCGGATCGAATCATTCAACCAAAAAAAGTTCGATCCGATCCGGCGCGGAAATATCATTTTTAAGTGTTGCTACCACCAAGAGCAAACTCTTAGGTTGGAAAGAAAGTTCTCGGAAAAAGTTTGCCCGATGATTTCTCAAAAAAACATGAGGAAAATATATTGCGATTTGTGGAACTAGCCAGTAGCTAGTCTAATAGAAGTCTCATTGATCTGATACCAGGCCCAGCTCAAGGATCTTGTACTAGCAGTCGTTTAGACTAGTAGTATTAGGTTGGAAAGAAAGTTCGAAAAAGTTTGCACGGCGATTTCTCAAAAACCAAGCCATGAATTCTTCTCAGATTTTTTGATAAACTTGACTATATTTCAAAAAATTTTTGACAAAAAAACCGGAATGGGCTTCAGGTAAAAAATAAGAGATTTCTTCAGCTGAAGTGGCTTGGTCACTTTTTGAGTGATCAGCCTTTAGACAAGTTTTTAATGGGTTAATGGATAGGCAATGGGTCCCATTCAAAATCTAAAATCAAGTACTTAAAATAGGGAAAATTTGTGATTAAGGCTAATTTAACCTAATGCTTTGACTCTTCAGAAGTTAGTTAGAAGTTAAAACACTCAGTCTAATATTATCTTTATCTCATAAGGAATCGTTTTTCTAGTGCAAAAAGTGAGCTGAATTTAAGCTCGAAAATAATCATTTTTCAAAAATCTCGAATTTTACATGAAAGCCGCACTCATTTTTTTACGAGTAATTTCTCGGAGTCCACTTGTAAATAATAGAAGAAAATGTTCTTGAATTGGTGGATTCGTTTTCAAGAAATTCCGGTCAAACTTTTTCCGAGAACTTTCTTTCCAACCTAGTAAATCTATGCAGGTGATCGTCACCTGCACAATTGTTCTCGGATGCACGTTACTCACGAATCTGTTCACGAAAATGCGAGTTGTTTCGATTTTCGCACTGGTTTGTGTTTCGCCATGCATCTAGAGATGACAGATAATTTCCAGGTCTCGACTTTCTTTTTTCTGATTGGATTGGTGGTGATCTTACAAGAAGCGATCCGTCAACCAAATCAAATTGCTCATTTACCCGCCACCGGCAGTTTCACGAACACGATGACAATGATTGGAATCTTGATCTATGCTTTCGAAGGGCAAACAATGGTTTGTTTTAAATCCTTAAAAGGCCGTTCGAAAGATTGAGGGAATAGAATTCGAAAGGTATACCAAATAATGCCTTTTCTAAAACATGCGCTGAACAAAAATTACCGTACTTTTACGCTTAGCAAAAGTCTAAACCAATCGGTCACCTAGTGCCGAGTTTGACTCCCGTCCAAAACACAGTTATCACTTTATTTTTCTGAAAATTATTGAGTAAATGTTGTTATTGAATGCATTGATAATGTGTTAAACGATAAGGAACCAAAAAAAGGATGATTTCATCTTGAAAAAGGGCACATTTTAGAAAGCAGGTTATTTGATATTTATTTAACAAATACCGTATTTTCTGTAATAGTAGTGCAGTCTGTAATAGTAGTGCAGTCTATAATAGTAGTGCAGTCTGTAATAGTAGTGCAGGCTAGAGGGGGGTTGAAAAAAATAGTAATGCGCACTACTATTACAGAAAATACGGTATTCAAACAAAAATTTCTTTGAAAAATTTAGGGTTCACAATTAGTGTGTGCTGTGTTCCTTTCAAATAATTATTTATTTGAAAGGAACACATTCTAATTATGGTTTTAACAAGGGGTCTTGACAATGCTTTTACACGCCATCATAACTGTTCAAATCCACAGTGAGAAACACTTCTTTTCAGATACACTGCCTATGGTAACGCTATCCAACCGACAATCACAAGCAATATGCCAAAAAACGCGTAAGAAATACTTTTTTTAAAAACCTATTCAAATTTTTTAGTCTTTTTTACGGTGGTTGACATTTTTTTAATGATTCAAACGCTGTCTGGGAATGCAGTCGCTTTGTGGGTTTTTTAAAATATAAAAATTGAAACAGATATTCTAAACTAGTGTTTGATAACGACAATGAAAAGATTCTTCTCAAAAGCGAACAAAAACATTAGAGACTTTTTTAGGTACGTGATCTTTAAAATCTTCTCTCGGGGCTTCAACGAAGCGATTCTCAATCGTTTCCCGAAAATTCCACATTTTGTCGTCGACAAGGGATTTCGGTGAGGTGTGATTTGTGTGACTTTTATCTCAGAGAATAAAAAAGAGAAATCTCTGACTCTGACAAGCTCTGACTAACAAAAAGAGAGTACCAATCTAAGAAAGAAGACAATGAAACATATATCTATTGAATTTTTTCAATTACGGATTCTTTCGGGTGCTGGCAACGTACGGGGTGTCGATTGGGATTCCCCATCTTGATATCATGATCCCATTGGTTGGTGTCACCTCGGTGTGAATCACCATTGGAACAACGAGTGGAGGGCTTGTTTTAAGTGAGAATTCTGAGATTATTCTAACTTTAATTCACGAGCTTTCTTTTGGAATTGAACTTGCGATAAAATAAGAGATAATGGAGCTGTTAAAAAAATGTCTTTTAGATACAAAAACTCAGGAGAAAATGAGGGAAATGGATCGTATTCGGATATTGTTGGCACCTATGTGATCGAAACAAAGATGTGCCCCTAAAATGTACTTATTACTGTATATCAATGTTTGTTTAAGGGAATTCATGAAACTCTGTCTTTTGTTTTCTTTGTTTGTCGTGGTCAATAAATGTCTCAAAACAGCCTGTAATACAACAAGAAGCTAGCCTTACAGTACTCTGGATCTCGTTCACTCACCTTTCCACTTTGCATAGCATACTTGTAGATGGTCGAATCGCAATGATATGCACGAGGGGTGAGCTTAACGAGTGAATGAAGCGGACAGTTCAAATAAGGCAACTCCATCAACGGTCGATCGTAGATATAACCGAGAATACAGCGCAAGATTACTTGATGCCCAACCACCAGTACATCGGTCGGAAAACTCACATCTGGACTCTTTTTAAAATACTTGTCTTTCCAACTTCATGATCACCGGCTCCAATCTGGAGACCACCTCTTCGTAACTTTTCATAATTATGGAATGTTGACGCTGTTTTATCCAAAAATTCCCACACCATATTGCAAATCTCCGTATCGCAGCACATCATTGACCGATCTCTGCCGTGCTCAACCTGTCCACCCCCATGTTGCACCATAACTTTTGATTCTAAATGCAGAATTTCCAAAGTCCCACACGCAAAAAGCGCCCCCGTTGCACTCAGTCGTGCTCTTTCCAACGGAGTAGTCCTCATAGTAGCCCGCGCAAAAGCCTGCGCTTCACATTTGTCCGATTCATCATTTTCCGTTACCTGAAAAAGCCGGTGTTTTTGTTTTTTTGTTGCTTGAAACTGTCACTATCGAAGGCTCTCCATACTTTCTTCAGAGAATGAGCGTTTCTTTTTCCAAAAAAGAATTCCTGATGCGATTGAGTCGTTAACTCATTGTTTACCGACGGAAATTCCTTAATCGAAATCAACTGATGACTAAACGAATCGGGCTTTCCCCTCCTTTCCCTTTATTGCCCAACAAATTTCTTGTTTAACTTTGTCTTCTCTACTCAACCTTTGACGAATTAGAGTTTGAATGACAACAACAAGCTGCAACTTTTTGTGTTTCGAAATGAAGTGAAATGTCTGTGTGTTTTCAGAAGAATAGATAAAATGGAATTTATTCGTTTTTGTTCATAGAAAGGAACACACAGAATTTATCAAAATTCAGAGCTCCTTTTGCAGATAAAAGGGACGGATATACCCCATGAAAAAAAGACCGACCATTTGTCATCGCCACCCCAAAGCTGAAATGTGTTCATTTCGGATGAAAATCCTTCGAGAAAATATTTTGCATTATTTTACACAAAGAAATTTCCTTAGATTGACTCAAACATTTTTGGAATCCTCTGATCCATAGAATTCGTTCGGCCTTGTATTGATCTCGGAGTTGAGTTGTAAAAATTGCATCCCAATATCCGCGTGTTGCAACTTCTAAATGTGACAACAATAGCAAAAAATCGAAAAGAATTGTACCTTTTTCTTCTGGTAATGATCGAAAAAGTCGTACACTTTTGCGGCCCAACCCCACATTTTGATCTTCCCATTTGAATCGAGACCTCTAAAATTTGAACAGAACATTTTATTTAATAGGTTGATGCATGTCTTTTCGTTTTTTTTCGTACTTCTGTTAAAAAGTAACAAATTCACCAATTAATCTATAGTTTGCTCTATAAAAAAAGTGTTTTTTTGTTCAATTTGCATCTTTTTAAATCAATTTCGGTTCACTTTCAAGCAAATTCGAGAGTGAAAAACGCCTTTTTCGTAAAAATCTATAAAAAACTCTACGGAAAAATTGGCTGAATGAATTTCTCTGAAATTTTGGCGAAATATCAAACTTTTTTTGCTCTATCTTTATCTATTGACACGAAGATAGGTTTTCTTTAGCTAAGGTGTCTAAACCGCATCATCGAGTTAGCCCTTTTTGACTACCCGACTTCATACTCTCAAGAAAATCCAGGCATAAAATATTTTTAAACCCGTTTTAATGTTATTTTGCAGAAAAATAATGGGTTTTTCTAATGAAATCAACCGTAGTTTAATTGGTGCATTTGTTGGCTTGAAACGGCAGACGCAAAGGAACGAAAAGACTTATGCATCAACCTAATAGATCCTATGGACGAAACTAACCGTTGACAAACCTTGCACGTGAAAAAAAATATGATCGCCAGGCCAGTAATAGATGTGTTTCACCTAAAGAAAACTTTATTGTTTATACAAAGTTTATATTAACCTTCATTGGAAGGCCATTCTCGTTACATTCAGCCACTTCGGCGCCTTTGAAACGATGATGAACATACCTAAAATGAAAAATTCTTAAATTTTGTAATTTTTTTTATTTGTTCCCGCTATTATCCGCTTTCTTTTGATCACAACGCTGAAAAGTTTATTTTTAGAAGCATTGAAAGCTAAAATTTACATTTCCTAAAATTTACATTCAAAATTTACATTTGTTTAAATTTCACAATTCAAAAATTTTTTTAAATCATTTTATCATGATGATGCTCGTTCAGCGCCTCAACTCTCTTTTTGTATTGGTACTTTTTAATGTTTTTTTTGTAAAATAAACTTCATTATCTTCTTAAACATTTCTTTGTTTTAGTTGGCAATTCTCTTGTCGTTTCGAGGACTTTTCGTCGACGCGAGAAAAGACGGTAATCAGACGACGAAATTGGTATATTTTTATGCGGTTTTAACTTTGGAACACCCATCTCCTTTCGGATTGATCAGCTTGTGGGGGGGGGGCACCTTTAGTTTGACTTTGTCAAACCCAATGTTTTGAATGATTTTATTTTTCCTTTATTCTGAAAAAATCGAAGTCTGCTAAGCTAGTTCATACTATTTTAACAGTATTCCCAGCATGTTTGGCAAATCATCGGTCAACTTGTTGCACTCACCACCCAGCATTATCTCGTTGCTCACATTTGGAAATCAAATAGAAATTGAAATTGAAACATGCTGGGAATACTGTTAAAATAGTATGAACTAGCTTAGCAGGATTCGATTTTTTCAGAATAAAGAAAAAATAAAATCATTCAAAACATTGGGTTTGACAAAGTCAAACTAAAAGTGTCCCCCCGACAAGCCTATAGTACTAATTTAGCCAACTACTACGCCAGCGATTCGCGAGGGAGACAAAAAATTGCATCAACTGAACAAGCGGAAAGGAGATCCGTTGCCTTTGGTGGGTAGCTTATTGTCGTTTTTTGGTACATAGAATAACTTGAAATTCAATGTTTATGTTTAATTTTTAGCTTCCTTTGCCTGATGGAAAATCGTGGACCAACACGTGGACCAACACCGAAACGAGCACATCGTTTCGATTGTGGAGGTTTGTGGGTTCAAGAAATAAATGGATTTCCAGCTTGTTACTTGTTTGAGTTAAGTTTCTAGCGTAAAATAAACTTATGCAGTAGTACTATAACAATTAGCAATGCCTTTACTTCTGCTAAATTACAAAATTTAAGAATTTTTCATTTTAGGTATGTTCATCATCGTTTCACAGGCGCCGAAGTGGCTGAATGTAACGAGAATGGCCTTCCAATGAAGGTTACTATAAACTTTGTATAAACAATAAAGGTTTCTTTAGGTGAAACACATCTATTACTGGCCTGGCGACCATATTTCTTTCACATGCAAAGTTTGTCAACGGTTAGTTTCGTCCATAGGATTTAAATAAAATGTTCTGTTCGAATTTTAGAGGTCTCGATTCAAATGGGAAGATCAAAATGTGGGGTTGGGCCGCAAAAGTGTACGACTTTTTCGATCATTACCAGAAGAATAAGGTACAATTCTTTTCGATTTTCTGCTATTGTTGCCACATTTAGAAGTTGCAACACGCGGATGTTGGCGTGCAATTTCTACAACTCAACTCCGAGATCAATACAAGCCCGAACGAATTCTATGGATCAGATGATTCTGATCCGTCTTACATGCCCGGAAATCGGTGCGTTTCTTGTTTTTGTGAAAACATAAGTTGTTTATTGCCTTGTTTGTTTAAAAAAATTTGTTTTTTTAGGGATCAGTCCAGAGAGGGCGGATTTTTGCCCCATATCCGACGACAAACGTTCGAGCAAATTGGAAAAACATTGCATATTCATAAGGTAAGTTTATGTCTTTGGTTGTAAGTTTATCTGATTTTTTTAGGCTGAAGCAAGGGCGGCTGGTGTGTATTTTTGCTACGATGACACGGCGATCAAATTGGTATACTTTCACAGCGGCAATGAAATTTTTACCCATGTTTAGGTCCGCTATTTCTATATTCTCCACGCAATGACGCCGATCAATCGAGCCAATTGGATGGATGATGCTAATTTCAAGAATCGTCTTCAGCTGAGTCCGGATATGGGTCAGTTTTAATAATTCTCTCTAAACTTGCAGATTTTAGGTAAAATGGTCTGTGAATCTGTGGACAAAAAGGGTTTATTACCGCCTCCATATCAATGTGGCAATGACTGCGGGAAACCGATTTATGTGAGTGATTAAGGATATTAAAGTAAATTTTATGGAATTAAGTGCCAGATTTTCCACTCAACCATACTGAATATTACTAATAACATTTAGATGTACCCGGATACTCAATGGAAATTCAACTGGCGTCCCATCATCTATAAACCCGAAAATGAGCCTATCTGTGATAAGGGTCATCTTAAATGCGAAAAATATCTGGTAATCCATTCCTTTTTAAGTGCATTCAATGTAACTTTAGAAGCTTCACCCCGACGCCGGTCGCCACCTAGCGATACGAAAAGTGCCGGAGACGCCGATACATCTGCATGTTCTCAAACGATCGTTCAACGATGCTAGTTTTTTCAAATTTTAGTGAAACTAGCTAATCAAACGCCTTAAATTTCACATGTTTGGAATTAATGTTTACGTTTTAGAAACGATTTTACACAGATGTGGCGTTGGCTTTTCGATGGGAGCCATGGAGTAGATGCGATTCGGGAAGAACACATCAACGCCGAGAGGGTGGGGGTGTTTCGATGAATTTTAAAAGTTTAAAATCATTTAGGGCACTGTGTTTTGCAGCTCGTCGATGGTAAAAAGA